GCAGTTTTACCTCAAATCACTGTTACAACAAATAGCCATTGTATTATGTTTTATTGCACTGAAATTATTCATGGAATACAATAATGATAATAACCTTCTATTGATTGGAATGAACACATATCTTCTGTTCAGCAGCTCTGCCTTAAAAAACTTCTTTGCTGATGTTTGGCGAACCATTCTGAAATTAATAACAGGAATATTATTAAGTAATAGAAGAATTTAATATTTTTACTTTATTGTATATAATGTGAGCAATTGAACGAAAGAAATTATTAGAATTCGATATCATTACCTTGAGGTGGTGGGTCCAACATCTTGTTCCCCACATAAGGTGGTATAGAAAAAGGAACTGACAATGGGATGTATCTGAGGTAGTTGCCTGAAATCACAATACAAATTATCATTTGCATTAGGTATCCATATTAATAACATTATTGTGTGGCTCAAAGATTCCACAGTTAATTATAAACAAGAAATTAATTGCTGTATAGCATGATGCTCCATTAGTACCAGGTGAAGCCATCTAAGAGATGCCTTTAGTACATTATTTTATACCTTACAGTTATGTGAAGAAAATTCTTACTTGAACAAAAACAAAACTATGGTATCAGTAATCATGGCCTTTGGTTGAATAGTTTCGACATCATCCTTGTAGATTTGAAGTCCAGAGATTTCCACACTCTCTGTAGGTGGGGTAGGGGTACTGCACTGGGACAAATCTATATATAAGGGACTTTGTGAGGTGCCAGTAGTAGCTGCAGCAGGGCTTTTATCTTGTGAAGTGGTCATGACATCTGCTTCTGAGTGGCTACAGGGCTGCTGTGCAGAGCTGTTAATGTATTGCTCTGAAATGGTGGAATCTTGGGAAGAGCAAAATGCTTCTTGTGATGAACCTGCGTTGGGAGACCCCCCAAAAAAACAACAACAAAAAAGAACATTCTGAGCATGGGGTCAGGCATGAACTGTAAATTAGAAGAAAACTCCCGAATGACTGGAGTAATTATTACTATAAAGTTAGATGTAATAAGTTAGGGCTTAAATCTTTGTAATAAATACTTACCTGGCAAGGATGTCGTGGAAACGTCAGTTATTAGGAAAGGGAGTACCTGACTTGTCCAGAACTTCTCCAGCTTTGCACAGACAACAGACATGAAGCTTGGATCATAGGGTACATCAACAGTGAAGATTCCCTTGTTGGTCCTCACAACAAAGATGCACAAGGTGAGGCCGCTTACAAACATTTGAAGTTGTACTTGAAAGTAATAATTTGAAGTAGATTTTAGTGCAAACTTATTTCCATTTTGAATACCACCAATTTCTGGGGTTAAGAAGGCTTGTTTTGGGTGCAGATCCCTGTGTTTCCAAGGGCATTTGTATTCAACCACTCTTACTGGGCAACCATCAGAACACTGGCATTTCTGAATATTGTCCACACTAGCACCAAGGAAAGGCTTGGACCGGGAGATTAAAAAGCCTTTTGGGATGAGCTTTAGCTTGTGATGATTGTGGCCTGCAACACGTTGATATGCCTTGCAAGCACTCTCTTCATGTAGCAACCCCCACTCCCTGGCATTTTGTGGTTCTCTTTCCTCCTGGATGGGCGGTGGACATGACTTTACAAGACCAATTTCTTCTATCAACTTTTTGGCATTTTCAGCTGGGTTTTTCTCAAGCGTTTCCTGGCGGGTAAAAACTCTTTTGCACTTTGAGGCTGTGATAAACCCTGTCTTATGAAGGTACCACTCTTCACATTGCCATTGCTTGGTGGTTGTTCTCTCAACCTGCTTTCGTTCAGAATCACTGAAAGACAATACCTTGACAATTTCTTCTGTTGAGGTTTTGGGATCATTAGTTAAAATCTCCAGGAGCTTAGCCCTCATTATACCGGTTTTTGGCCGATTATGGTTAGAGTGACCAAGTTCTCCTGTGATTGTGTCTTTTTCTGGAGAGCCATAAAGTTTTTTAAACAGGGGCAAAATGACAGGTGTATGTTTTAAGTGGCAAATTCGTTTGGTAAACTTCCTTAGATTTTCCTCATCTTTTGGATTTGTGTCTTCAGGGGCACGGACATCTGTGTCGATGTTTTGACAGTAAACTTGTTTGCGTTTTCTCTTTTTGTGGGAAGGTTTTTTGCCTTTCTCAATGATAAGATCTTTTACTTCACACGCTTGTGTATTCGCTCTTGGCCTCTTAACCCAAACACATGGGCCACTCGTTACACTATCTTCACCACGGGTATTTACCAAATCCTCTAGAGCGTACATGGCAGCTGCGATATGCTTACATCCCCCATCTCGACCGCCTTTACACTTACATCGTGCTCGGAGTACACTGCCGCGGTTCGCCCCTCTGCCCTCTAGAATAAACCAGAGATCGTAGTACTCCTTTCCTTCGTCCGTCTTTAACTTCATGAAAGGCTTCACTTTCGCAACGTAAACATGGACTCCCTCGTGTTTTAACTGAGTAGTAAGCAAGGATTCCACGTAACCGTCATTGAATAATCTATAGTCGTCAAATGATTTATAAGCGGCGAGCCCCTGTTTATCGTAATCGGTGGAGTGGTAGATTAAATGGTTAAAAATATCGAACAACCCAAATGGCGGCGAAGAGTTGAAGTTGTTCACGGTCTTCAGGGAAAGTGGATCAGGAATTACCATATCATGAATGATTAATGTACCCGCATCATTTGTTTGATCTTTTTCAAAGTTTGGGTCAACGGGTAAAACCATTCTTTCGACTGCAGAAGCGATTTCCACCAGCGAAGGTTTTAAATATCCGCTCACCGAAACGCCGCGATCCTGTAAATATTTTTTAAGTTCTGCCACATTCATGGCCTTGAAGTCGCTGCTGTTCTTCTGCCCTGACATTTTGACCCTTATGATATTATAGTTTCGGGGAATTAAAGCGTAGAAAATATTTTGCTGAGCGGGAACTGTTACTTCGCACAGTATTAGAGGGTGAATAAAACACGGATGTTCTGTTCAATTTTTAAAGACTTTAATAGCGACTTGTGGTTCGACCACGTATAGTACGTGAGTAAGAACGGATGTTCTATTCGATATTCGAATTTTAAAGACTATAGGTCATGGAAAAAACCGGCTATATAAACGGAAACTTGAAATAGCGACTCGAAGTTCGTACACGTGGGTGAAACCAATGTCCGAACTTTGGCGGTTTGTTTACATCGAAAGTCACGTGACACTACACGCGAAAGCTGACGCTCAGAAGGTGAATTCTGTCCACTTGACTTGTCCTACTCATATATTCTTTGTAAATGATGCTAAACTAGTAATAATGTTCAGCTCCTCTTGTCGCCCGAAATTAATTGTTACAAAAACATATTTGGGAGATTAAGATACCACGTTGGCAAAAACATCTCTTAAAATGTTACTTCATGTTCTTTGAAACTTCTGCAAACTTCCCAACTCTCTCACCTTGTTAAATGCAAATAAACTCTCCTAAAGCTGAATTCACGTAAAAAAATCCAAAGTTAAAAAGAGAAAGAATTATGTTATTGTTTGTTTACGCTGTTAGTGAAGCATGAGATTAGGCAATTCATGTTGTCGTAGTGCAGTGACAGCAAAGAAATGTAACAAGAAGTGTGCTACATGTGGATGTTAAGTTGTTGTTTTGCTTTAAATTGAAGCCTATTGCTTTCGCCATGACATCTTAAACTCCCTATCGCCTAATTATAAGGGTATGTAAAACATTTTGAGTAAACTTGAAAGTTAGGATTATAAACTTTACTTTAACCAGAGCAACTCTTTCATACAATTTAACTTAGCTCAACTAACCAACATATTATTATACCAAGAAGCTTCTTCAAGTGTGGTGTGGAGCTAACTAGTGCTTACAAGAGTACAAGATTTTACACCCACCGGGTTTACGTAGGGCAAGTACACAGGGCTTTTGGATCAGATCCTGTTCTTGTGTCTAAGAAGCAGGATAACTTGAGTTAACAATTTAACAGTAATTACCCTTTGTTATCCTTTTCTAGATATCAACCGTGCTATTGAGCTGATAGACAAGCTTAAAGGCAGTAAGTTGATAGTAAAGTTGGTATATATCTGTTTGAGAAAATGTCAGTGATCTAGATTTTCTTTTCAATTCTCTGTTCCTTCGATATCTATCGGAACCTTTCCACTACTTCCGTGCATAATGTTTTTCCTGAGCAGTACTAGCCTCATTCAAGCCTCGGTCATCCATCACATTTTTTCCTTAGACAAGGAACTTTTACTTCACTTTGGCTCTGATCTCCCAGGACCCAGTTGTTCCAACGCCAGTTAGCAGTAACCCGGGGACGGGGGTTAATTTTAACCTGGGTTTATTTTTCTTTTTATCAAAAGCACTCTTTTGGATAATTTGCTCTATTCTTTTTAGAGTGTCCACTCACCAAATTGTAGGCAAAGAGAATTGAAGTAATTTGCTTTTAAAGCTCTCATATCTGAGTTCAAATTTCACACCAACCCCGGGTTATCTTAACGCAGCTTCAAACAACCTGGCCCAGGTGTGTAAACAGGTACTGGTGACATACTGCTGGGAGGGGGGGTTAACCCTGCGATGGACTAGTATCCTCTCCTGGGGGAGTAGCATTGTCCTAAGCATGCTTCGTGCTAAGGAAACCGGGATAAGCCAGGGTCTTCATTAAGCATCAGAGATGGGAGAATTCTCTGTTTACTAAGCTAAATTCTCCGGCTAACGTTTGGTAGCCTATGACTACTTTTTATTCAGACATGGAGCCTTTTTCAAAGTATTCTCCGGTAATGTTACACCTTTCTCCTGCTACTAGAATTCTTAATGAAACCCCTGATAAGCTCTGCCCTTTGGGCCCTTGTGTTTCTTCACCTTTTTTACACTGTATTATTTTACTCATGCAGACTATCAGCAATAATAGGTTAGTTGATTCACCAGGATCCTTTTAAAATTCCAGCCCCTTTACAGTCATATTTGGCGACAGTCATCTTAGATATTGGAGCTGCTATAAGCTGAGAAATCTCTTTCTAGCATATTTGAAGCCATAAAATTATCTATCTTTGCAACAGATATTTGATTTTATGAAATCATGTTATTTATTTTTTTGTTGTTTCAGGTGGGGAGATTCCTCCTAAAAAACTCCAGGCCTTACAGAAAGTATTGCAGAGTGAATTCTGTAATGCTATTCGAGAGGTATGCAACAGTAAAACGTACTGATCTATCAGAAGAACTGAGTAAGGTGTGGTTGTGTCCTTAATATCAAGCCTTACAATGGCTCTAGAGTTTTAGCATTGATATTACCAGAAGGAAAAGTGGGTTTCCTGTTGAAGATAACTGGGGCTTAATAGCTCTCTCTCTCTCTCTCTTCCAAAGTCAACCCAGAGACTTGTATATTGTCATTGTGTTCACAGTTTGTGGATGAGATCCTAGTTTGGGACCTTTTAGATGAAAGCTAAAATATTAATGGAGAAGTACTGTTCATTGTGTGGTATAAGATGGTTTTAACTGTTGAGCCTTACTGGAGAACTCTAGCATATTTGTATCATGTATGCCATAAGTCAAAATTTAATTCAGGCAAAATTTTTTTAACCTAGGCTGATTCCCTATTGCCTTTGTCTCCTAACCCTGATTATTCATGAATTAGGGCTAGGAGACAAAAAAAATTGAAAACTATCTCTAGGTTAAAAATATTAACCTGAATAGAATTTTGACCTGTAACATTTATAATATTTAATAGTAGTTTTATAGTATTTTGTTTCCATCACAGCTTCTTATAAAACATCATTGTAGTACATATCGCATTCTTGTGTGTTAAAACGTGACGTTGCAGTTTTAACTCTATTTTTTCAATTTTTGTCAGGTTTATGAGCATGTCTATGAGACTGTTGACATCCAAGGAAATCCTGAAGTACGCGCCCAAGCTACAGCAAAGGTCGGATTACTTGTTCACATTATACAACTTCCACTAACGGCTACCTCTCTACAACAGCCGCCTCTCTACAATGGCCATTTTGTTTGGCAGACAGTCCATACATTAATTCTTTTTTCAACCTCTCTACAGTGGCCACTCCTTCACAATGGCCACCTTCTTCTGTCCCCAAGGTGGCCATTGTAGAGAAGTTCAACTGCAGTCTCTGAGTTTGGTTGAGAGAGTTAAGTCATGATCACTCCGGCTCTATAACTTAACATTTCCATGATTTTCATGTTTTCTTTACCAGGCCACTATTGCTGCTTTTGCCGCAAGTGAAGGTCATGCTCACCCTCGTGTTGTTGAACTTCCCAAAGTAAGTATCTGGGTGGTTTCATGGTGTTTTGATGGTGCAATGACCAAAATAATGGTGTACTGTAATAGAAAAGACTGGAAAAAAAAACGTACCACATCATAATGCAGTAGGTAACCAATGATTATTGTCTTGTCCAAAACACCTAAAAACATCCCTTATCTAGAAATTTAGGACAGTCAAATGTCGATATAAAGAAGCTCTCCTTCTACCAAGCAGTCACATCTCATATTATTTAAGGAGAGCAAGGGCAGCGCAGTGGCTGGAGCACTCCCCTCCCCTCAGTGTGGCCCTGGTTTAAATCCTGGCATTGAAGCCATACGTGGGTTGAGTTTGTTGTTGGTTCTCCCCTTTGCTCTCAGAGGTTTTTGTCTGAGTACTCTGCTTTTACCCTTTCCTCAGAAACCAAAACTTCCAAAGTCCAATTCGATCTCAAATGCACAGATATGTTTAAATGAGTTCCTAAGATCTCATAAGTGCTTTGTTCGTAAACAAATTACAAAAAAAAAAAATGTAAATTTGGAATCTATTGAGCATTCACCTCTATTTAAGGGGGTACAGTCAACTGGTAGACTTTCCAATTGGCTTTTGCTATAGTTGTATTTCTCTATTAAAGTGGTATTAGGTAGATGGATAGCAGTGTGATCTTTTGACACAACATTAAACAAAGCATGTTTGCTTTCTTCAAAAAGCTCATAAAACATGCATGAAGTCACTGAACAAATGCTGTGTTGGGATGACATGCCAAGTACATGGGATTAACCCAGTTTGCAACCCAAGGGCTTAAATTTAAGAAGAGAAGGCCAGACCAAAGTGACTGGCAAGCTAGAGGGAGAATCCGTATTGTCTGTGCTAGCACCTAACCAAACTGAATACTGGAATGGTCAATGACTGATGAGTCAGTCTACTCGTTCAAACAAACTTTGATGGTACATAATGTATAATGACAAGATGATCACCTATATCATCTGATCCATGCAATTTTTGAGTAATTTCTACTTTGACTTTTATCATAAAAACATGATAAAATTATTGTAAGTGGTCAAACTCTATTATAAATATGGTCACCTAGCAACATGTACATGTACTTTCCAAGAGTGACTGCTTAATAGAGGTTTGACTGTAAGTATTTCTTTTGCTAGTAACATTATTTAATACAATCAAATTTCTTCTAGACAGAGGAAGGTCTTGGTTTTAATGTAATGGGAGGCAGGGAGCAGAACTCTCCTATCTACATCTCTCGTATTATCCCAGGTGGAGTTGCAGATAGGTATGTAGCAACTCAGGGCTCAAAAAATGCCAAATCTGGTTGTCTGGGACACGAAGATTTGTTTTTGTGTGCTGATTGGTTGAGAGCAGGGTTGTCACTAAGATTTCAAGTTGCCGGGTAAATACAACAAGTAGGCGGGGAATCAAATGGCTTGGGATTTCTTTTGCTTCTATTTTTCTTCTATTTTCCAATAAAAGTAGCCGGGGGCCACTCCCTTAGTAGCCGGGGAAAATCCCCGGCCCCCGGCTCTTATGACAACCCTGTGAGAGCTATGTTCGATAAGAGTACAGACCATGGAAATGATGTGATGGTGGCACAATTTGTTTTTCTCTTTCTTTTGCGCAAGATTTTTGCAGTGAAACCTGCAGTTTGTGGTTTCAGTTGGGTTTTGAACATTTTGACTTCATTTCTATGGCCAATAAGAGTACAGACTAGGGAAAATAAATTATTGATGTCAATTTGTTAATTTCCTGCCAGGCAAGAACTTTACATGCTTACTTACCCAATTGGCAATTGCCCAGACAATTCGTTTTTTTAGTTAGTTCGTAAAAGCAAATATGAGGCTTATAGTCCAAAGGACAATTAAGCTGTCGCATGCAGGTATTTTTCAAAGCCTGCAACAGACTCAGGTTTATATTGTGCAAGAAAACAGGATGAAATTGAATGCAATAAGTATCAATGGAAGAAGTTGATTTCATGTAGGTAAACTACAAGACAATTTTTAAAAGTTTTTTACATCATTAGAACAGTGACCGTAGGTAAAAGCAAGTTGCCACAACTTAATAAATCTGAATTTTTGCATTTCACTCTTCTTTGCCAGTGGAGAATTGCCCCCTGAAAAATCAAGCGTCCCACGTCCAACCGTTCACTTTTTTTTCTTTGGTCGCTTGCAGTAGAAGAAGGTATTAATCTTTTATGCCTTTCTTTGCATTAGGAATGGTGGATTAAAACGTGGTGACCAGTTGCTGTCTGTCAATGGAGTGGTAAGTACTTTGACCACCAAAGATGATGAACAATATGTAAAAACTTCACAATGAACTTGTTTATAGCCTTCCAACCTAATTCTTCTTTCACTAAAACTTATACTTTCCTGGTTTTGTATTTTAGAGTGTTGAGGGAGAAAATCATGAGAAAGCTGTTGATCTTTTGAAAGCTGCTGAAGGTGTGGAAACTATGAGTTTACAAATAATCACAATTTTTTGATCTTAAAAAAGCCTGTTTTCTGATGTATTTGTTATGTGTTTATTTGTTAGTGGTGTTAAATGTACCTTAATATGTCATGATCTATTAAATATTCTTAATAATAAATACAAGGAGGGGGAGGGAGAGGGAAAACATATGTTCCTAGTCTGACTTTCAATTATGATTGTTTTGGATTTTGAGGAGTAGACCATGTCCCTGTCTTTATGTTGTTTGTTGCCTTTTCCTCTAGTTTTATGTCATTGTTTCAAGACCATGTCGCTTGTTACAATTTTGCCCTAACAGGGCCCAGGGTGCAAAGAAAGTCAGTTTTCCAGCTTGTCATTCGGGCAAGCTCTAGCTGGCAGGTACAAGCCCAAAATTCATTTCAGCTAGCCCCAAAAACTTGTTGATAAGCAGCATTGATAACACAGTTCTTATGTAATTTGAATTCCTAAAAAAACTTCGCTTGCCCATCGGGCAAGTTAATAACAGAATTCACGAACCCACTAGCCCCGGGCTATCGGACACTACTTTCTTTGCACATTGAGGGCCTCATAATAAGATGATTTATGCTAATTTATATAACTATTTTTAAATTTCTTTAGGGAGTGTTCGTTTGGTTGTCAAGTTTACTCCAAAGTGTAAGTAAATAATAATAAAACTACAGTAATAATTATTTAATTCTGCTAAATTACTCTTAAGTTCTGTACCTTCTTTCTTCCTTATTTCATTTAATTTTCCAAATATTTTTTTTTATTTTTCTCATAGTGGACTTTCCAAATATGATTAACTCTGCTAACTCGCCAACTTCTTGTGTTGTTTTGTTAACGAGGAATTGATCAAAAAGAAAAAGTAATGCTTCCACTTTTATGAAGTAGCTACTGCAGCTGCAGTTATTTTTTTTGGCTCCCAGTTATGAGGTCATTCTTTATACATTTAGCTAGGCAAAATAAAAAAGACATGCTGAAAGCAACGTAAGTTTCAACAGTTACTACCCTGTATTATCCACAGTGCTAGAAGAAATGGAGGCCAGATTTGACAGACAACGAGGATCTCGAAGGCGCTGGTGGGTGAAAAAAAAATAATATTAATGCATGGATAGTTGCACTGGAATGTAGATTTTCCTTTTGTTTTCACTTAGAAGTTAGTTTTAATAACCCACTCAATTATCTCAGCCACACATGACTGCAGAGGTGGAACCCGTGTCACTTGCCCCATAGGTATCCAGTGGATCGTGGCATTTTGGGGGGTCATTTGCAGAAGTTTTGACTCCCAGGGGGGCGGGGGTACTGCCATATTATATGGGGTAATAAAGGTATGTGCTGCTGTGAAGGGTATGGTTTTCAAGCAACTTATCCTGGGATAGGGTATAGAAATCACAGAGTTTGGGTCCAGAATAGGGTATCATTCTCCAGGATTTCAACAGTTCAGTTGGTTGAAGAATGTACATGTAGTCTAGACTAGGGAAACCAGGAATTTAGTTCTCAGTGTGATATCAAGGTCTAGTGTGTCGGCCTCAGTTTATTTCTGGAAATGGTGACTCTAGGATAGGTACATTTTTGTGTAGAGATTTTGGGAGTTTAGCATGCACTGTAGTTTATGGTAACAAAATTCAGCCGAACTAGGTCTGGTATAGAGGAAGGGTTCTGGGGTCCCAGCGGCACATGCCCACCCAAACATTCCTAAAGTCCCTCCCTTGGGCTTTGACTATAAGAAATAATGTTTATTAAAAATTTAAATCAAGTTGACATAGCCTATAGCCTGTGAACCTTAGACGTATTTCCGCTCGTCGCTTCTCTTCGCGGCGGGTGAAACTAAAGCCGAAAAAACCGGATGCTCTTGCAGGCTAAGTTGACACTTTGTTTTTCTTCTTTCAGATGTAATTGCACTACATCCCTCAAAGCAACAAGGAGTCCCTTAAAGCTGATATTATAGCCAGTAGTAAATAACATTCTTCAATATTTTGTACTATGCAGCCGTTTCCACTGTCAGTCAAAGAGAAAACTGAAGGCTCCTCTCTTTTTTAATCTTAAAGCATAATTGTTAGAGCCAAATTTAGAAAACACGAATAGTCTGTCGTAAGAAAATTCCATTCTCACATTAAACCAGAAATTACTTTGTCTCTTACGAGACAAAGGGTATTCTGAAATATCAAACAAGGTTACCCTGCTTTATGGACACCTCACTATTCCGGACAGTTCACTTTGCTCCAAGGGAAAGAAAGTCCTTACATTTTCTTTAATTCAACCTCCTTAATACGAACACTCCATAAATATGGACACTTTTCATGGTCCCGTCAGTGTCCATATTAATTTGGTCTTACTGTACTTGCTTAATCTGAGAATGGATTTTATGCATAAAATATCCTTCTGAAGGCAAGTCTTTTTAATGAGGAGTCAACCAACCTTGTTAAAATATGACCCTTTTATCTATCTGGAAATGTCTCCAATGTTATTACAAGGATGTCTTCTTGTGGTCGCTGCAATAAAGGCTACTGTGTACATGTAATGTCACTCAACCTTTGTATCTCTTTGGTTGAGGTCATCATCTTAATTTAAAAATCTAACCACTGTTAACTCACTCTAGAATAAACACTCTTGGGATCAGCACAAACTGCTTTAATCTCATTTGCCTTAAGGGTCAAAGTAAAATAAAATGATTCAAGAGTAGTAAAGATCAACTCCAGGTGTCTGTCTTGTAGTAGTTTCCCTTGAGAGTGTGTTGATTGCAATCGAGGGTCATCATGAATCATCATTTTTAATACTGTTATGATCTTTATGGCAATTGTATTAAGTGATGATTATTTGTATTGGTGGATGGGGTTACTTTTAATGTACCTTAACTTTGTATTCTTAGGCCATATGGGTGCATAATAAACATTCAGGAAACTTTGTTTGTTTTAATGGGTCTTAGTTTTCTTTGTGTGTATTTCAGCAAATTAAAAATAAAATTTCTTGTAACTTTATACTCAGACTTTTTACTTTATGAACAGTTATTGAGTATCAGGGTATGAAGAACTATAACAAAGTAATGTGGGGGATAGAGAAGGGAATGGTTTCATAATGTATCAATGTGACTGGCGCTAAAAGAGACTCCCCGAAAGGGTTCTTCAATCCCCTCCCCTTCCACAAAATCCACATACTGTTGGGGTTTGATTTTGGATTCCACACCCCAACTACTGTGTGTGATCCTGGACTCTGGATCCTATAGATTCAGGAATCCATTCGATCAGGTTTTGATATTAGTGTTGTTGTTAATTTGTAGCCATTTTGTGGCTGATTTATCTCTGCCCATTTTCTTTAAGAAGTTATTACTCTATACTGCTATTCAAGAAAGAAAAACGAACCTATTAGCTTAAGTATATACTTGCATGTCCTAAGTATGCTAGTATGGCAAAAGACTGTGTTTTGTTGCACAGTCCACAACAATCCTGGCAAGTTGATAGAATGTTGTGTTTGATCAAATGCAAACCTCCGGATTCAAATCTGGTCAATCCAAAATTAATCATTCTTGGGTTCGTAACTGTAAATTAAAGATAAATTAGAGTGTGGAAAGACCCCATTGCAAACAGAGTGGAGAAATTCCAACCATTATTTTGTATATTGAGGTTCTTTTTTTCAACCAGGCAACTGTAAATTATTAGGATTATTATACCTGATTTGTTTCATATTACCCGTTATTCATATGGACAGTAGAGATGACTGAGAACTTTTTTTATTCCCTTTAATTTATGATCTGTAACTTCTTAAGTTATTTAATACGAAATATTAATTATCTAATGTTATTTTCTATGAAGAGCGAACCAAGCTATCACCTTTTGTGCAATTCTACTGTCACAAATTAATGGTATTTTTATAACTTACCATAAATTTTTATTTTTAATCTTAAGTTACTAAGTAAATTATCACTTTTAGTCCTTTGCAAGCATTTGTAAATTAATTTTTGCCCTTGTGCTTTTGTGACAAGGCATGTCATTCATCGACAAACACAAATCTTACTAGATAACTTTGTAACAACTAAAAAATATTGAATAATATAATTTCCATGCACAATTTACAAATAATAATATTTTTACTCTGCCAAATCAAGTTATAATGATCATAAGCTATGTTATCCTTATCTTGTGTTCATTTTAAAATATCGATATCTAATTTTGCGAAATTTATTTACCAACAAATCCTTGGAATTTGTGGCTCAAGTCCAGGGCCAGGGTAAAATGACCCAACAATAAAGTGTTTTAAAAGTGTCCATTAGGGAAAGTTCATTTAATATGACAAGGGGGGGATGAAGATATTGAAACTCAAGCTTGAAATTTTAGCAGCCCCCCCTCGCTAGCGGTTCAATTTTTTAGGAGCCCCCTCCTTGGTAGTTGAAAAAATTTCAGAGCCCCCCCCCCACCTCCTTCAATTCCTTTGCTCCCCTGAAAAAAGATCGCTAGACTGTATTAAATATATTTACCGTTATTGTCTTCAATGGTTTATACTATGACAAACTTGAGATACAGTTGTGATACAATTTTCTAAAGCATTTTTGGGATGAACAAGAGTGTAATAATTACTGAGACTACATTTGTTATATCTGTAAACCACATGATATAGCTGAGTTGCACAGGTCATTAAATTGTTGAGTTGAAAACCATCTGATCTGTATGATGATGTCATGTGTTGGTTTTGAAGTATACAAATTTTCGGAGCCCCCCCTCCTAGCGCAACAATTTTTTCAGAGCCCCCCCTTCGGGTGTCTAAAAATTTTCGGAGCCCCCCCTCAATATCTTCATCCCCCCCCCTTGTCATATTAAATGAACTTTCCCTTAGCCACACAAAATATTTTGATTAGTTAACTTCTTCTGTCGTACTCTGGGTACCAGGGGTTTTTTCTCGCGTTCGTCAGCCACAGGCCGACACATCACACCCTAGACCTCAAACCCTAGGCCACCTGGCCAAAAACCTATTACTTTTCTTGATGGGCTTAAAAATTGAGTTTTGTCAGAAACTGACAGCTTTATGAGCTAGAGTGTTGGTAAGAATTCACGGGCTATTCACACTTGGTGCCTGAGCACTTGTCTGGGTACCAGTGCTGAGTGCACACCTTGGGTGTCCTGTGTATATATTTGCTCCATATCACATAATTTAATTGTCAGAATCATTTTCAAATGTAAAAGTAGCAGGAGGTTATATGTATGAAAAGCAAGTAGATTGCCTTCGAACTGACAGAAAATGTGTACAGAGTCAGGGGCCCAGTGTCCACTTAAGCACCTGGGTAAAAGGGTAATGCGTATGGGAGTGTTCACATTAGTGCCTGGTGAGTAACAAACTCTGGCACTGTGCCCTGGTGTCAAGTGTGAACTTACCCAGAAATTGGATTTCCTGTCTACCATCACTCTCTCTCCCCTCTTTCCATTATTTTTTTCCGACAAAAGGGGGAAACTGTACACAGGTTGCAAAAATTCAGAACTGAAAATAGTCAAAAATTTTCCAACAAAACAAAAAAATAATGGTATAAAATCTTTGTAGAAGAAATAATACATGTCAGAACACGACAAGATTAGTGTTCAATTGAATAATGGGTAAAACAAAATCCTTTCAGCTCTATAGATCTCTGCTTCAGAGAAAAAAATATAGTAAGTAAGCCAATGTGGGGAATGAAAAACCATTAATAATTTCTTTTGTGGGCCTAAATCTTCCTTACACTGATTGAAATACAATACAAATGTATTCAAATTATTTGTTTTAATTTCTGGATGATTAATTTAATAAGCATGAATAAGAATAACAGCTGGTATATCTATTTCTTTGAATTCCTTTTTAATTTGTCTCTTTGCTTCTGCAGTTCATGTAATTCCTTAAGCTGTTCAATTTCATCTTCAAGGCGTGCAATCTTGGCACTGTGGAGAAGATACAGCGTGTTTAAAATATAAACAGTGTCAGCTGGTTATGTATTAATTAATGTTTGGAGTTATTCTGTACTCTGATAGTGTTTATTATCTATCTATTTTCAAAGTATAGTTATGCAAGAAGGGGGGTGAGACTTACAAAGTTTGTTGGCTTTTCATTGGTTGATAATACATTTGTCACTTATTTTCATTACTTCAGTCTGTGACATAAACCATTAAAATTTGCCAGAGAGAAATGTTTCTGGAAGTCTTGCTTCAGGAAATTAATGTGGATGTTAAAAGCAACAACAGTGACCAACATAACCCATCATCACATGCTGACAGCAAAAACAAGCAGAAAAAACTCCTGCTCTCTTTCACCCCACTTTTAAAGCTTATCTAGCAATTACCGTCATGATTTTAATATCCATAGAGAGATGAAGGATTTAATAGGAACGCCCTGATTCGCCAAGCCACAACAGCCATAACTTATTGCAGAAAATGCAACTTTAACATGCTGGCACATGACCAACAGCACTATTATAGTGGATCAAGGATCTAGGGATGAGCTGAGAATATCATGTGTCTCTCGACCAAACCTAGGTAGGTACTGCCGCAAAGGAGCCAATCAGACCATTAAAGGGCCACCAGAGTAATGTAGGGCACTTTGCAAAGTGGAGGGGGGGGTCTAAACCTCCTGCTTCTCATACCTTACATTCCTGGCTCCTGCCCCTTTTTTCTTGGCTTCCTCCCTTTAGCACTTTTCATTTGGAATATATCTAGCACTGTTGAGTAATTTTCCCCTATTTCTCCCACTTTGCACCCTTTTAGAACTCCCACTTCCTTCCATCTCCCCTCACACTTTCCACACCCCTACTGCGACCTTTTCTCCAAGGCTCCCATCCCCCTGACCTCCCCCCAGCACACACCCAAAAGTCAGAAATGGCCAGCAGGACCAGCCATGGGCTTTTTTTGAAATGTTTGACTTAAAACCCACCACTTCCTTGCAGACTGTTTAGGATTATCATTTTACGAATAGACTGCTCTAGATGGACAGCCCTTATTAAGAGTAGAGCTCTCTTTACGACTGGACTGGTCTGGCTTGCCAGTTCTGACTTAAGGGTTGCCTGGGAATCAGTGAGTGCAACTGGGATTTGTACCATATGCTGCAAGGAAAATAACGTGTTTTTGTGAGACATAATGCACAAGTCAGACATAATCTCAGTTGTATAGCAGTTTTTTTTACCTTTTGGACTCTTCCCTTTCTATCTGAGAATAGGTACTTTCCATAGCAGCCAAATCATCATCATCATCATGGAATCTGTTAAAAAGTAGAAAATTAATGATAGCCTTTTAAAAAGTGAATACAATGTAGCACTACTCGTAATTTCTTACATGCATATCAAGATGACCAAAAACTGGAACATTTTTAAGGCCATATACCACACAAAAAAAGATACTTGCAAGAGAAACCAGCTATCTGTCTATATCAATCAAATAAATTATATCACGCTCATTCAGACAAAAATTAATATACACTTATCTTGAAGGAACAATGTGAACTGTCCTGATCAGAGATGACAAAGCTGAAATAACTTTACGATTTTACCTACTTTAACTGTAAACCTGCTAAAAATATAATTCTGCATCTGGTTACTTATTTGACAGTCTGGCCCACAGAAGTGGGTGATTAAAATGTATTTGATAAAGGGTGCTTACTCAAGGAAATGCAATAAGGTGCAAATTAATTATTATGGCATACATTTGCAGACTAAAATAATTGAAAATAAAATACAATTTGAAGTTCAAAAATTAGACTATCCATGTGAAACAACAGCTTCTTATAAAGCTATGTATGTGATGTGGGCCTATACTGATACAGTTACTGTCGTACATGACATAAACAACACCTGGACAAAATAATCCATGCAGCAAAAGGAAAATAATATAGCTTAACATGACATCACACTCCGACTTGCAATTTATTACAATTTAACCAGCGCTGACAAAAAATATATCTAACGCGGCACACAACAAACTAATGAAGACTCTTCCAAAGCATACATGTTGCAGGTTAAATCTGGGATCAGGTTAAACCAGCATTCAGCCTGGGTTAAAGGTATAATAAATCATTGACCCCGTAGGCAAATAGATAGAAATATTCCTGTAATCTCTTCTTCAATATAAATCCTTTTGGTGCTGACTTCATCAATCAGTCCCACAATCCAGGCAAATTAACTTTCATAACTGCATCATTCTGAGAAGAAAGGGTGGCCGTATATAGCATAGATTGTCCACGATTCATTTTTGACTTAAGTTAACATATCCACCGTGCACGATCTTGTGAGAAGTCTTGCCAGTTAGCTCCTTGATTTTAAGAGCTAAACTGTGGTCAGCTAATAATGTCTTACATCACAGAAATTGATTGGCTGCTTGGGTTCGCAGACATTACTTCTCAGGTGGAGTGAAGCAATCACCAGAAATGCGTCTGTGTCCGCAGGATAGAAAGAAACATTCTTTTTATCTATTTTTAAACCCGAGCTAAAAACTTTGTCAAAAGACTTTAACAAATTCGCCCCTGAACCGCCCGTAACCGCCCGTGCGGATCCAGGTCCTTTCTACCCTTTGTGACATCATCAGTTTTAATGGTCAAGGACAACTTTCTTCGCTAACTAGTGTAGAGTGAAGAGATCTTTCAAACCATACCAGAATGAGCACGATTCAGTCAAGGACACCGGAGAAAGAAGCAAAAAACCACGTGACATTGACCTGAAAATCTCCATGAAAATCTTGTTCCATTGCCCACCTACCTTTCCTTTCACCTAATCCTAAGATCCTAAAAGCTTTCCTAAACATTCTTCCCACCAAAATGAAGCCTACTAAATGCCCAGCAAGAGAAAAAAAAATGAGGCAAGAAAAGCGAAAAAAGAAGGGAGGAGAAAAAGCAAAAAGTAAAAGTCAAGACTGCGGTGTCACTTTTCACTCTCAAAATTTTGCTTTTGGCGCATGCCCGAACTTCACAAGCTGATGTTTTGCATCTGGATCAGAAGGCTGCCAAGTGTACGACCTGTAAACCGGTTTGTGGTAAGTTTTAGCCCTTTATAGCACGACAGTGACCAGAAAACCACTAGACTAGCTTCAAAACGCGTTTTTCGGCAAAATCTCCAGGAGCGAATGGGTTAACTACAATGTAGTTTTAACATGCATGCGATTTTTAGATCTTAACTCTTTTTAAATTTTTGAGCCATTTTTTTTACTTTTTATCAATTACTTACTTACTTACTTATAAATTTGTTAACTAATGAGAGTCCCACTGAAAACCCCTATGGTTAGTTGGGCTCCCTCTTTAAATATTATTATTATTGTTACTAACCTCAAGCCAACTCATCCAATCCAACACTAGCCTGTGAATACAGCCGTCTCTCCTCTCCACTAGGGATGTTTTTGCAAGAAAAAGAGAGAGAAAGAAAAGAGACAACTGTATTCACGGGCTAATCCAACACATCAGGTCGCAAAATAATGGCACTGGCTATGTGGATAACAAAATAATTATTGACCTGAATGGATGTTAGATGAATATTTTAACAGTATAGCAGGTAAATAAGTCATTACAAACCTTGTTCTGTCATAACCAAATATTTCCTTAATATACTTTGAAACATCAACTTCATCGCCATCTCCATCATCAATGAAGTCATCCATTTCATCCTCAAAAGGATTCCTCTTTCTCTTAAGATTCTCACGATCCCTTCTTTTTGGTACATGTCCTTCCCTCATAAGCATCCTATCATTATTAGGCCGAATTGTCTTGGAGCTAACTGATTTTTTGTGACTTGTTGAAGCTGCCATTGAAGGTAAAGTTTTTCTTTCAATTCCTGTTTGTCTTCTCGCATTAACTAACTCTAAATGTTTCAAATCTCGTTTACTATCTTGAACTTGCCTGGAAGGCTGTGTTTTACCAGGAATGCCTTCACCTTTAAATTGTAAAGATCCTTTAGAATGCATTTGTCCATTTGTTTTACCTTTGCTCACAGGCTTACTAGAAGAAGCCTGTTTCGTTTCGAGAACTTTTCTTTGCCCTGAACTTCTATCAGATTTTTTCATGTGCTCTTCCTTCTTTTTCACTCGTTCTTCCTTTTTTCTCACATGTTCTTCCACATCACTTTTTTCTTCATGTTTTTTACTACTTCCTTGTGCCACTGCAGTTGACAATCTACCTCCACCATCTTTATTTCTTTCGGCCATAGCTAGAAGAGCTTTGAAATCCATGGGTGGTCCTTTTTTGTCCTTCCCTGGCCTTTTATGAACTTTTCTAGAAGATGAACTCCCTTCACTAGTCTTATTGACAGGTTCAAGAGATGGTCTTGCTTTGTCTCCTTCAAACTTCTTTGAAGTTATCTTCTGTGGTTGTTTTGTAGATCTGTGATCATTCTGTTTCATATTTATTTTATCTGCCTGCTTTTCACCTGATTTACTTTTGTGAGACGTACCCTTCTGTTCATTACTGGCTGCTTTATCACGAGACGTACCATCTCCTGATTCTTTCTTCTTGATGCCAAGAGATTGAGTCAATCGTTCTTCAATCCTAGCTCTCCTTGCAGCCTCTTCCTCAGCTGTATGTACAATCATGGAAAACAATAACTTTAATAAATTACATATGACTAAAATAACTGACTCAGGCTAAACTCAAGAAAACAGCTGACCAGTACTCCTTCCCCGCTGTGGGGCTGTAAACAGAAGGGAATTTCCAGGGAGCCCAACCTGTGATTCTGCAGCTATCCTGCCAAATTTTTTTGTTACTTTTTTGTGTTGCAACATCCCTCATAAAAGCAAGTACCAAGTGCAAATTTTTTCTCACTGCTATATGTCATGATCATGCCTGGTTGTTGTTGCTTACAGGGTTTTCTCAAACTCATTAATAATTCATTAAGAAAATACAAAGGAAATTAATGTTTAATGAGTGTTTGGAAATCGGATGAAACACTGCTTAGTATTTGCATCCTTAATTTCTCCTTCAAAAATGATTTTGTTTGAGAAGAAATATCAAACATTCGACACAGTGTTTCATCACCAGATGAAACACCTCGAAGTTCGTCAAAAATACTCCGCTGCGCGTCGTATTTTCAACTCTCTTCTCGGTGTTTCATCTGGTGATGAAACACTGCATCTCATGTTTGATATCTTACGTCAAGATTACCCTACAAGCTCAGCCTGTAGGACTTGGCTCCACCACCCCCAAAGAGTACACCAACCCCGTACCGACCTCATTCTCAAGACCTGCCATCTTTGCACAGACTTAAAGTTCAATGGGATAAAAGCAATGTCATGTGGTATTACAGGGGGCAAATAAGTGATAAAATTAGTGAATGTGAGCATCCAAAAAAATAACAACAATCACTTCCACCCATAATAAATATTTGCCATTAGTCTAGAATAAACAAACTTGACTGTCATTTCTTGCATTGGCAAATGTTTTCACTTGTTGCCCCCTGAAAAACCATGTGATATTGTTAATGCTTATTTAAGTGGTTGGTCAATTTTGACTTAGCACATTACTATGTTTTTTGATAGATTGTTTTGTTTAAATACATGTACACCAGCACCTGTAACACACAAAGCTCACAAAAAATTAATCATCTGTCAACAGACATGGAACAAGAATTGTAAGAACTACAAATCTGGGATTTGATTTTCTATTAATCAAAGGTCTTACCTGCTTTCCTTTTCTTTTCAAGTTCTTTCTTTGCCAGAAAGGCTTTCACAGCCTCGTCTGACACCCCACTCTGGTTAGATTTGTTATTCTTTGAAGCCACATCTCTGGTTTCCTACATTTAAAAAAACCTTATTATAGTTACTTTGTGAAATGCCAAATAAATCTATGCTTGAATCTTATTACAAAGAAAATTTTATAGCTATTTTTCTCCCAACATAAAAGACTGCTGCAGTGCATAAAAGGCTGTTCAGCACCTTTTGCAAGCCCAGCCATTGTGCCATAGAGCTCAACAACTCCAGGCAAAAAATTCTAGACTTCTAAGTACCAGTCATAACTGCTTTTAGAATTAACTGATACAGTAGGTTTTAAGAACGAGTAAGAGATTGACCTCAAGGTCAAGCCATGTGTGACCACTATTTGTGTGAGCACCTCCCATAACCTATCCTTAACACCAAAGTCATCAAGGCCTTACAGTACTGTTACTGTTGCCTTACAGTATTCGCTTGTCAATGTTTTGGGGAAAACATCTCCAATTTCTGCCAGTTCATTCTCGTCTTGAAGTGTGATCTGTGTTAAAATTTTCAAACACTGACCATATTCCCTTCCACGGAAAGGTTACGATTCAGTTTCTACATCAGCTTCATTCTCATTCAAACAAAGCTAGGTTAAAATCTGGAAAGGCAAAGTCAACATCCCAGTCCTCAGGGTTTACAGACATATTTGTAAGTATATTCAGTCAAAACTAGCACTTCAAGTATTCACTCGCCAATGTGACGCTGGAGTCTTTCTTTCATTGGTCTTTGGAAAGATGATTTGGTGCAGGCATGTTTGTTATCATATTTGTCGAAAGAATTACTCATTTTCTCTTAGGCAAAACATCTTGAATCTCTGCCAGTCAATTCTTGTCTTCTTAACTGTGTACTACGATAAAATTTTCAAACACTGTCTAGAATCCTCTTCGATAAGATCACGAGTTACTTTCTTCATCGCCTTCATTCACAAATAATCACAGTTTAAAATGTTGAAGGACAAAGTCAAAATCTAAGTCCTCAAGGTTGATAGACGTCTTGTAACTTAATTTCAACCTTTTTTCCTGAGGTAAAGAGATTTAGAGCTCTGAAAGGAGCATTTTCTTCGAAATTTTGGTTCGTATAGCAAGTTATGGACCGCAAATTGACCAATCACATGGTGAAAACAGACTCAGCCATATAATAATGACATTTATTTCTCATGATTGTTCTTGCTTTCAGATCAACTTTAAGCTTTAGCCATACATACAGTAATAGAAATATTAATCATTATTATTACCTGTTTTGGTGCTCGAGCTTTATTCTGCGAGGCCAAGTTCATCAGTTGCTTAAAATCCATACCTTGGTGAGTAAATAAAAACCTTTTAAAAAATAGCTGAGGCAATATTTTTCCTAGTGTTCGTCTTCGAATAAAAGCTTTAATTACTTCTCGCGATTGAAAAATTGTAGATTAAAATTACATCTAAATTCAATTTATCACAAGAAAATAAAACGTGCTCATGTGGAGTAAACGTGTCAGTACTGCAACGAATGCCCACACAATAGAAAAGCCAACTAAGGCTCACTAATATTTTAATATTTAGCACCCCAAAACGAAAGCAATATTTGCCTTTGTTATTTCAAAGTAATTTCTTTCGTGTTTCATATACATCTACTCCTCTATCGCCATGTGAACCTAGGAGTCAAAGTTGAAATATTTCCCTTACCTTTAAGCTTGTAATTTTGCTGTTTTAGCCCGCTAAAAATTGTACGGCTTCAGAAAATAAAGGAGATTTTTATGGAACTATTTCTCAACAGGAACAAGGGTGGCCATTTTATTAGTTCCCAGATCACTACCTCCAAATCACCTTCCCAGCATGCATAGAGTAACACTCTCTATGAAGACACGTGACCTTACGGCTACCAGTCGTTTCGATACAAGCCCGGGGCGGGCGGAGGGAAGGGGGGTACTCCCTTAAATAAGCTATATAAGTATGTGCCAACCCATCGGGTAGGGTTTTTGCACCGTTTTGGTCTGAAAACGGGTATACACTTTGCCCATTTTGGTCTGGAATCGAGTGTGGTTTTCGAGGGAACTGCAGGAGTGTATGAACGTTTTTATCGTTTCAATTCCAAATGAGTAAGAAAGAAAGAGAAATATACGAATTCGAAATGGATTTGAATAATTTGTTTATTTGCCCTCCAATGACATAATTTCTACCTAAAGGCCAGGTCTGAAAACGGGTATGGATTTTACAGGTCTGGTCTGAAAATGGGTGCTAAAAATAACACTTTTTGGTCTGAAATCGGGTCAGGATTTTAAGAACAGGGCGGCACACCCCCACCAAGAATTTGCAGGAGTACCCCCCGGGGATACCAGCTTATTCAGTCAAGGTGTAAAAAGTTTCACGTACTTAAGAACAAAAACAGGAACCCATCAATGTGACAGGCTCTTGACGAAAGATATTCACCCCAAATGTCTTTCATTTTCAAGCGCAAACTATCATTGAAGGGTTCAAAATTTCTTTTCAGTTTGCAGGGGCGGATCTAGGGGGAGGGTGTAGGGGGTGCGCACCCCCCCCCGAAATGACCTGCGGTTTTCTAATACAACTGGTATTCTGCAAAAGAAAAAAAACCTATGTGATTTATTGGTGTTGAAGTAGAGCAAGAGACGAGTGCACCCCCTCCTAAAAAATCCTGGATCCGCCCCTGGTTTGTATCAAAAGGACTTGTATCGAAACGACCGGATTCCTTCAGAGTATTCCAAATCAGTTAAAGACACAAAAGAAAGTGGAAAAACATCAAAATTGTATAACTTGCAAGGACAAGGTTATGGGCTCCTGGTCCTAGCTCCGGGCAATAGCCTCCCACGCAGGCGTAGGGGAGTTGTATCTCGCTCTCCCCACCACCCTCCAAAGAAGAAAGGCCTGCCTCACAGACGGAACTAAACTTTTAAAAAATTCCGTCTGCTAAACAGCACCGAAGTCCTTGTTCTGGGTTCCCACCTGTTTACAACGATTTGAGTATGCTCCATTGCATGATTGGCCTTGCTAGAGAAAACATTGTCATTTTTTTAGTCAGAAGGAAAATTGTTAACGCATTTCCGGTAATTTGTTAAGCCGCACCTCGTACTGGCGTATCCCGCCGCTTGCGTGACTTCTCGCTACTCCCCCAAAAGGAAAGCTTGCTCCGAGGCTAAGGATATCGACGCTGCTTCGCAGACGTTACTAACCGGGGTTACATGACGTCTACGGTGCAGGCTATAAAAATACTACTCCCCTAAAAACGCATGTGTGGGAGGCTATCCAGGCAAGAACAGCGGCCAACCCAGGTCCCCAGGGTTGCAAGTTGACCATTATGTCTCTTGAAAACAGGAGCTCCGGAAAATCTAGAATGTCTCATTCATTTTCCCAAGTACCAGTCTGACCGTAATTTTCTGGGACCTATGGTTGCCCTAGGCTCGATTACCAGCCGCTGATAGGGAGAATGAGCCCGGACTCATGAGAAGAACGGACCCGGGAGCTGAGACTCGCGGAGGAAATCGAGCCTAAGATTGCCCAGGGGTTCTGGGCAATCGGCTCCTGGTTCTGGAATGTTCAAACGGTTTTATCTGTTAGCCAAATCTGAGGTAAATGCCATTTTTAACTCCGATGGAAATCATCGAATGCTCTTCTTTTGCATCAAATAATCAGGCTTGATAGTTGATCAGGGTAAAATAAGCAATTTTGATAAGGTAATCTGGAAGTTGAATAATGGAGGCTTCTGAAAAGACAGTGATGTTCTAGTCTTCCTCCCAGCCGTTTTAGTGTCGTCGCTGGGAAGGAGCGCTTCGTGACGACACTGAAACAGCTGCGAGGGAGACTGGTGAGAACGGTTTTGTCCGTACAGACTGCGCGCATGCGTAGGGTAATGGCCGTACCGCGGTACCGCGGAGCTCCCTCGCGCGTTTGCTTCTTCCGCTTGCATTGCTCATAACATACTGGCCCCGCGTCAGATAATCCAGAGGGACTGCTAGCATAACTTTTTTAAAAACCTTTGAATGCATGTGCAGAAGTTCCCTCAAGGCGTAAATAAAACCGACTGGTTCCTTCCAGCCGGATCTCTGATGTAACCGTACAGCAAGACGTCACTTGAAGTGAAAATTAAAACAAAACTGAATGCAAGGCTGGTAATACGGCAAAGGATTGATTTATTTGGGACCAATACTTCGGCTAACAAAATTAGTAATGGTAACAGGACTGAGTGGAGTCCAATTCGGTCTGTAATCATACGAGTGATTAACAAAATCGGACGACCGCGTGGCGGGAGTCCGATTTGTTTAATCACGAGTATGATTACAGACCGAATTGGACGACACGAAGTTCTGTTACCAATTAATCATAACTTTAACAAAATTTGTGATATATGAGGCTCTTTTTTTAATCAGAAGACAAGAAATTCCGAGATTTTTTTTTGCTAGCAATGAAACAAAAAAAGCCATTTAAGCGCGGGCGTGACGGCGCGTACCTTCCAATAAGGACTTTAAGATCCAACGACGCGACGGCGACAAGGACGTCGCGTAAAAAGTGAATTTGCGTTCTTTCAGTCTTTATAGCGATTATTCCTACCCACTTACTTTGTCAATTGTAGGCGAACCCTCCTGAAGCTGAATTTCAAGGGACCAAATTCAAGCTCAGAAAGAGAAATAAAATTTCGTCGTTGCTTGTTTACGTCCTCCATAAAACGCGAAATTAGGCATTTTCACGTCGTAGTCGTGCAAAAACGGGAAAGAAATGTACAAAAAAGTGTGATGCACGTGCGAAGTTGTTGTTTTGCTAATTAAACCAATTGTTTTTTTGACGTTCTCGTTGTCGTCCGCGTCGTTGGATCTTAAAGTCCCTAATTACTTAGGCATGACGCGTACTGTCCTATTTAACTGTCCTATTAAGGCTGAAATCAGGGCAGTTGATAGCCAATCAGATTTAAGAATTTTGTTATAGTTATGATCAGTCTTCTTCACGGCCAGGGCTACATTGAAAGAGAATACTATAACTGTTCCTAAAACATGTTTTAATAACTTTTTTAGTGATGTTCGAGACCAAGAGAGTGGCATGCGCACTTTGTCGAAGCGAGAAATTAAAAATAAGGTCCTCAACCCCGAAAGCGCTATAGTTCTAACAAAGAACTTTAAAAGTTGTCATAAATTTTTATCAAGATTTTATGGAGTGAGAAGGCGGCCCTAACTACCTGCATTATTAGGGGGGAATTTCCATGGAGATGAAAGACTTACAAAGACCCAATTTTTCTGCAGAAAATGGAAAGGCTAGATTTTAAAAGAGTGATTTTTTAATTGCAAATTCTAAACCTCGTTAAAATGTGTCTGGGGCCGATCGGGTAAAAACAGAAATTCGAAACCTAGTCATTTTTTCTTACTCGGGATTAAGTCTTTTTAAAAGACTGTACTGAATACGGAATCAATACAGTTGATCGATTGTCTGCCACTTAGAAAATGACTTAGGTTAAACATGAAATTATTGTCTGCTGTTTAATAGTTTTCTGCGGACGTTTTTTTAGCTATATTATGGTACAATAATGCCGATTAATTTCAATTTTTTTCGGCGTTTTTTCAAAGCAACTACGTAGAGGCTTAAAATGTACACATGTTCAAGCCGTTTGAAAAACATAGATTTTGGTGCGATTCTTGCTTAAACCCTTTGATCGGATAAGATTGAGCAGTGTATAGTCAAAGAGTTCCTTAATACTATTATTATGACGTTCACCTTACGCTCCCCATTTTTGCCAGAGCCGTCAATGTCATTTCTACAAGTAAGTTTTGACATTTGCGTAATTATAGGTCTTAAAAATTTCTATCCATATCTAGACGATTGTTTTCAGTTTGAACTGAACCAAATTTGCGGTTTGTTTGTGTATACACTTGAAAGAGCAAAATTGCAGGCCTAACTCTTTCCATCAATTACCATCCCACGACATTACTTTGTTCTTTTTTAACCAACAAGTTATGAATTAACACTGATCAAAAAACTAACAAGGCAATATTTCCGGGGAAGTGCAAATTTGTCGATTTTAATATCCTTTCAGTGGAATTCCAAAAGAAAACCTTTACTTGCGCAAGTTTCAGCTGCCAAAGAAAACGCGGAAATAATAGGCTCTTTCATGAAGAAATCATAAAGAAACTCGTTGTTTTATTCGCCATTATTGTTGAAAAACACTTAAGATTCTCTGATTTGTGGAAGAAAAGTCCATGATAATAGTTATTTACTTTAAGCTTGCACATGGCGGTTTTAAGCACTTTACCAAAAAACCTTCATTTAGAGTTCTTAATTACATAAAAGCCTTAGTTAACGTGGGCAGGCTGTTTATCTTGGTTCTATAGCGTCTATAGCAGATGTATTTCGTTAATGACTTAACACGCCTTAGACTAAGTCGCCTGGCGTTTGAATACAAAGACGCACTCTTCTGAATAGGAGAACCTAAGAAGTTTAATATTCGAGTGGACACTCGGTTCACACCTCTTTGTTTGTACCCTTTCTTCTAATCGCAGCTTCATGGCGCC